TGGGAGCTTGGGTGATTGGAAAACGAGAGGCAGGTGGGAGCAATTAACAGAGACACATGACTAAACAGAACGGGGAGACAGGACAGGGTGTGACAGTAACCCCCCCCCCAAAGGGCGGATCCCAGACGCCCACAGGAACACAGAACAGGGCGGGAGGAGGGGGACCAGGAAGGAGAGCCAAGAGGAACTGAGGGACCGGTGGAGAGGAGGCAGGAACCAGTAAAGTCCAGGGACCTGCGTCTGGGGCAGAGGAGGAGATGACGACGAGCTCTTGGGGGCCTGCGTCTGGGGCAGAGGAGGAGACGACGACGAGCTCTTGGGGGCCTACGTCTGGGGCAGAGGAGGAGACGACGACAAGCTCTTGGGGGCCTGCGTCTGGGGCAGAGGAGGAGATGAGGATGGGCTCTTGGGGGCCTGCATCTGTGGCAGAGGAGGAGACGAGGATGGGCACTTGGGGGCCTGCATCTGTGGCAGAGGAGGAGACGCCGACGGGCTCTTGGGAGCCCGCGCCTGATGAGGGCAGGACCGGTGGTGACCGGAGGCAGAGACGCCGGAGGAGACGACCTTGACTTCTGGACTGGAGGCGTCGGCGACGACCTCTGGACTGGAGGCGTCGGCGGCGGCCTCTGGGCTGGAGGCGGCGTCGTCGGCCTCTGGGCTGGAGGCGGCGTCGTCGGCCTCTGGGCAGGAGGCGGCGGCGTCGGCCTCTGGGCAGGAGGCGGCGGCGTCGGCCTCTGGGCAGGAGGCGGCGGCGTCGGCCTCTGGGCAGGAGGCGTCGTCGTCGGCCTCTGGGCAGGAGGCGGCGGCGTCGGCCACGGGACTGGAGGCGGCGTCGTCGGCCTCTGGGCAGGAGGCGGCGGCGTCGGCCACGGGACTGGAGGCAGCGTCGGCCACGGGACTGGAGGCAGCGTCGGCCACGGGACTGGAGGCGGCGTCGTCCACGGGACTGGAGACGGCGTCGACTAATGGACTGGAGACGGCGTCGACCACTGGACTGAAGACGGCGTCGACCACTGGACTGGAGACGGCGTCGACCACGGGACTGGAGACGGCGTCGACCACGAGACTGGAGACGGTGTCGACCACTGGACTGGAGACGGCGTCGTCCATGAGACTGGAGACGGCATCGTCCACGAGACTGGAGACGGCGTCTCCACGGGACTGGAGAGAGCGTCGTCCACGGGACTGGAGAGAGTGTCATCCACGGGACTAGAGAGAGCGTCGACCAATGGAGTGGAGACGGCGTCGACCAATGGACTGGAGACGGCGTCGACCACGGGACTGGAGACGGCGTCGACCACGGGACTGGAGACGGCGTCGACCACGGGACTGGAGACGGCGGAGACGTTGGACTGGAGGGGACGTCGACCTCTGGACTGGAGGGAACGTCGACCTCTGGACTGGAGGGAACTTCGACCTCTGGACACGAGAGAACGTCGACCTGTGGACACGAGAGAACGTCGACCTGTGGACACGAAGGAGCGTCGACCTCTGGACACGAAGGAGCGTCGACCGCTGGACACGAAGGAGCGTCGACCGATGGACACGAAAGAGCGTCGACCGCTGGACACGAAAGAGCGTCGACCTCTGGACTGGAAAGAGTGTCGACCTCTGGACTGGGGAGAGCGTCGACCTCTGGACTGGAGAGAGGGTCCACCTCTGGACTGGAGAGAGCGTCCACCTCTGGACTGGAGAGAGCGTCCACCTCTGGACTGGGGAGAGTGCCCACCTCTGGACTGGAGAGAGGGTCCACCTCTGGACTGGAGAGAGCGTCCACCTCTAGACTGGAGAGAGTGTCGACCTCTGGACTGGAGAGAGCGTCGACCTCTGGACTGGAGAGAGCGTCGGCCTCTGGACTGGAGAGAGCGTCAGCCTCGGGACTTTAAAGGGCGTCGACCTCCATCGACTTCTGGTCCGGAGGCGTCAACTTCTGGTCCGGGTGCATCAGCTTCTGGACCGTCGACTTCTGGTACGGGGGTGTCGGCTTCTGGTCTGTCGGCTTCTTGACCGTCGGCTTCTGGTCCGGGGGCGTCGACTTCTGGTCCGGGGGTGTCGGCTTCTGGACCGTCGATTTCTGGACCACCGGCTTCTGGAGTGGAGGAGGAGTTCCTACAGACGGGATCGCTTGGACAGGCTGGACCAGATGCAGTGCGACCTCTGGGACCACCGCTGGAACTGGATGTGGTGCGACCTCCGGGACCACTGCTGGGACAGGAGCTGACTGAACTGGTGGTGCCGGAAACTGGGAGAGCAGGGAGGATAGATTGTCCAGCTGGAGCTCCTGGAGACTGAGGCTCTGATGGAGTTGGGCCAGCTCAGCTTGGAGACCGCCGAGCTCTGCTGGGTGGACTGCGGGTTCGATCCTTTGGCCAAGAGATGAGGGAGCTGCAGACTGGACCGGAACCTTCTCCTGGTAATTCGGGGAGGATAGGGTGTCCAGCTGGATCTCGTGGAGGCTGATGAGCTGACGGATCCGGCCGGCCAAGCTCCGCCTGGAGGTCGGTGAGCTCTGTCAGCCTGGCTGTAGGCGCGGTCCCTCCGCCTGCAGATGACGGAGGTGCTGATTGGACCGGAGACGGGACTGCTGGTCTGACTGGGGGCGGGTCCAAGCCGGCGCACCGAGCCGGAGCTGCAGCGAGCTCGCGGCTCCGTCCTGGGACCAGGGGTGACGGTGGAGCCCGGCATCCTTCCCAATGCCGTAGGCCAGCTCCGGGGGAGTACACAGCCAGTCTGGTGCCCACGTAGCAGGAGCGGTCTAGCTGCGTCTCCTGGTCTAACCCCACATCCAGCTCCGGGAGGGCGGAGGGGATCGTCGCAGCCGGGGTTCGGCGACGGTGTCTGCGGAGAGACAAGGCCAGAGGAGGAGAAGCCGGCCGGTGATCTTCGATTACAAACTGGAGCAAACACTCCCAAGGCAGAACCTCCCCACTGGATCCTTTACTGGGTTGGTTCATTCTGTCACAAGCGTGCCGGTGAGTGAAGTGGAGGCAGGATCCGCATGCGGATGCAAAGGCAGGCAGGCAGACAAGCAGGAACGGTTTAACAAAAGGGTTTTAATAACAGAACATGCTGGACTACTGAAACAATGAACCAACCTGAGACACAGGACTGAAGGGGTTTAAATACATGAGGGCTGGGAGCTTGGGTGATTGGAAAACGAGAGGCAGGTGGGAGCAATTAACAGAGACACATGACTAAACAGAACGGGGAGACAAGACAGGGTGTGACACATGCTCTGTTTTGGTTTGAGAGGGGAGGGCCTGGTGAAGTAGCGTTCCGAGTCTGTGGGTTTGACTGGTTAGGAATAAGTAGTGAGTCTAGTATGCTGCTACCTGATAGGTTATAAAGAAAAAAGGAAACTTTTTTTATCAACCTTTTATCGACCCATTTTTTTCTATCGCACCACATGTCTATCGATAGATGTATTGAACTACTGAATTATTGTCCAGCTCTAGTAAGAGATAAAATTTATTGTATTTATCCTAGTGAATCTATAATTAATTAAATAGGTGAACTAGCAGTAGCACATTCAATGTCAAGGAAAGTAAAAAGTTATTATCAGGAGAGGGAGAATGTTTAAGTGGTTAGCAGCAGTGTGCTAGACGATGGCCCCCTCCATGAGGCCACCACAGCTCAGCAGAACATCATTGTAGCTTCTTCTGGGGAGAAAAACACTTAAGAGAGAAAATAAAGTTAACAGCTGAAATAGCAGGAAATAATACAGTTAAAGAGCAGACTGTAGAAGAAAGTAGTAGAGTGTGGAAAGTGGTCAGTGTATCCTCCAGCAGTCTAAGCCTATAGCAGCATAACTACAGAGATAACTCTGGATAACCTAGTCTTTAGATGGAGGCATGTTGGAGGCAGGGCAAGGGAGAGACGTCTTTACCGACTGTACACTCCACCTCCCTGTACTCCCCCACTTGTCCAGATCTAGGCTAACATCAGATTTTAACTATAGGCCCTATCAAATAAAAATATTTTAAACCTAGTCTTAAAAGTAGACAAGGTGTCTGCTTCACGGACTAAAGCTGGGAGCTGGTTCCACAAGAGAGAAGCCTGATAGCTAAAAGATCTGCCTACCATCCCATTTTTAAATATTCTGGGAACCACCAGTAAACCTTCAGTCTGAGAGCAAAGTGCTCGGTTAGGAACGTATGGAACAATCAGTTCATTGATGTTAGACATATTAAGAGCTTTATATGTGAGAAGGAGGCTCTTAAAATCTATTCTGAATTTAACAGCTAGCCAATGTAGGGAATCTAAGACAGGAGAGATATGATCTCTCTTTTTAATTCTCATCAGAACTCTTGCTGCAGCATTTTGGACAAGCTGAAGACTTTTAACTACATTCTGTGGACTTCCTGAGAGCAATGAATTACAGTAATCCAGTCTTGATGTAATAAATGCATGAACTAGTTTTTTAGCATCAGTCCTGGAAAGGATGCTTCTAATCTTAGCAATATTTCAAAGGTGGAAGAAGGAAATCCTACAAACCTGTTTAACGTGGGATTTGAATGACATGTCCTGGCCAAAGATAACACCAACACCAATTCAGAGACATAAAGATTATTGATGCATTTTGCTTTTAAAAAGGTGCGTCATCGCCTGCTAGTTAGAAAAAGAAAACCTTACTGGGACTCCTGAAGTGTTTCATGCAACAATGAAATGCTTATATTGACCTCTAACTCACACAAAGTAACTAATAGATGTCAAATCATACTTTTGCACCACATATACCTCCATACAAATCACTTTTATGATGATTCCACTTGTTGCTGCAGTCAAATTTATTATTTATTGCACCTGCAGCACAGCTGTGTAGCTGTCGCTGCCGTCTCTTCGCTTCTACTGGATGTGCCAGTGTGTGTGTGTGTGTGTGTGTGTGTGTGTGTGTGTGTGTGTGTGTGTGTGTGTGTGTGTGTGTGTGTGTGAGAGAGAGAGAGAGAGAGAGAGAGAGAGAGAGAGAGAGAGAGATGCGCAGCTCCTCGTCGGCCAACAAAACGCTGTTCCTGAGCTGCGCAGCTGTAACTAAACGCAGCGTAGTGAACGCTGAAGCCAGCCCAGCTCCTCTGGTTGCGTGTTTTGCACACACACGCACGGAAACTTTTGCATTTCTCTCCCTTTCCCTCCTCCTCACCTCGGCATAAAAAGGAAGAAAAGGTTGACGGCGTGTGGCGCAGCGCGACAGTCTAGCCCGGTATCCGGTTACAGACCGTGCGCCGAGGAGCCACCGGCGCAGAGCGCTTCTTTCCCCGCGGGGCAGAAAGGGCACGCGGGGCTCCGGAGGGACCGAGCGCAGAGGAATCTCTCCGCAGGGAACCGCATAGGGAGGCGTTTCTGTTTCACAAGGGTCGGTGTTTTCAGAAAGCAGAGAGGATATTTCACCCAAAGCTCCTCGTTAACCCACCAACACTCTCCTCACCGGGACAAGACTCGCAGCTGCGCGCCCTGCTAGATGAACGGGAGTTGGCCACCTTGCTTGGTAAGACGCAGACTTCTCTTTAAACCACGAGCTGATGTTGTCTGTTTTATGTTTTATCATGACAGACTTCAGCAAATCTTCCTCTTAGTTTGCTTTCCTCCTTTCCACACAGATCCAGATGACCTGTGCAGGATTTAGTGGAATTAAATTAAATGTTGTTACATGACGAGAATACACAAGCATGCACCAGTAAGCACGCGCCAGTCCCTAACTACAACAGAAACGAGCAGTTTCAGAAGTTTTAGTTGCATTTCCACACCTGGATTTCTGTCCACTTGGTGGTGCTCACAGAGTGCAGCCACCAGGAATCAGAGAGCTGAAACGTTTAGATCAGCTCGCTCACAGCTGTGTTTGGCTGACTTTCCTGCTTCTAACATCTCCATCCTCCACTTCTGTTGTCATCTCACCACCATCATGTTTTTAAATGTTCATTTTGGTCTTGGCGAAGTAGTAAAAAGGATGGCAAACTTGCTTTCTGAGGTTTTACAGGATGCATTTATGCTCTCACAAAAAAAAAAGGTTTTGAGGATAAACTTTTGCTTCGTTATCCTTGATAAAATCAATTAATTATTCGATCATGACCTTTGAACGTGGTTTGCAGTGTTTAAAGGTCAAAAACAGAATTCTTATGAGGAACTGATTGTAAGCAGCTAAAAGCTCTTATTATAAATCTGCTTCTTCCACATTTTCTTTAAGATTTAATCCTTTTAATCCTAACTTGATAAAGCAACAATAAAACAAAAGCATATTTCTTTATAAATAATGGTTTAATTGCTGCAAAAAAGGGAAAGGTGCAGAATTTTCCCCAAAGCTCTCTGCTGCACGACTGATTAAACAACACAATTGTTTTTTAAATGATCTGTTTATTAATGTTTCACAAGCCTGAGGCGTGCAGTTTTTCTTCTTCGTGAGATTTGTGCAGCTCTGTGTTTGCTTTGATCGCAGGATCATCTGATTTTGAATCTTCAGATTCATCACGGTGCCTCAGCTCGCATCCTACCCATCACACTGAGCTTACCAGAGGAAATAAGTGACCCTCGTCTGGGTGCTGGAATTACTTTACACTGGCGGTGTCTGGGGCTTTTATTGGACTTTAGATGCTAAAATACCTCAGGGGGGAAGGCAGAGAAAGATAAAAGAGAAAGGAGTAAGCTCACAAAAAGTGTTGAGCCTGGATAATGTGATTTAATGCCTGTTGGGCAACAAATAAAGAGTTTAGTTTATGTGGTACTTTAAGAAAATAAGATTCAGTTTGCAGAAATAAGTGAGAACTGTGATGTAAATCCTGAAAATGAAAACGTGATAATTAAACCGATAACAAAGTAGAAAACTGTTTAATTATGTTTTCAGAGAGCAGTAAAACTTCTCCATCCCTACAGCAGGAGGGATGAGGAGCCCCCCCCCCCCCCCCACACACACACACACCTACAGGGCTCTTTCTCAGGCTCTATGAGGACCCGTGTTTGACTTGCCTCATTGATATTTGCGTTGCGACGGGAGTTCGCCCGAGCTCTGACACCGGCACAAACACAGCAATTAGCCTCATCCAGTAGGACTCTGTGATGAAAACGACCTCGCCGGCCTCAGGGGGCTGTGTGGTTACCACGGAAACCCGCAGAATGACAAGCCCCTTGTTGTTGACCTTTTTGATTCAGCGTCCCAACGGGGAGTCCGACCCTGCTGAGAGCGAGAGTAAAAGGCATAATCATGCGCGTGTAAACCAAACAGTCATTACCCTCCGACCCCTCTGCGCTCTTTAGGACCCCTTTGGTTACTTGTTTATTTTCCACCAGCAAGATGGAAGTTTAGAAGAGTTTTTTGTCCGGCTCACAAAAGATCTGAGGTTGTTAGCTGAGATAGTTGCACAGATTTTACAGATTCCCCTCAGCGGATGATTTATTGCTCGTGTACAAGTAAACTCTGAGGCTCGAACAATGGCTCCAGTGGCTTATTGTTGTCCCCTGCTGTTTTTTGTCCTCCAGCTTACCTCAGGGTATTTATATGTCACAACCTGTTTGCCATCGTCTAACCTCCCCCTTGTTTCTGCTGATGCTTCTGCTTCAAACGTCCTAAAGAGTTTCCCAAACACATTACACTAAACAGATAACAGAGCTGCTAATCATGATTATTTTGGTGAGACTGAGTTAGAAGAACACAGCGGGATGCAGTTCAGTTTGTCACGATGAAGCTTGTTTCACAACAAACGTGGTACAGAGGCGGTCCAGTCTCCGTATGGCTTCTGCCGTTCACACCGACTGCGGTTCGTGTGCCGAGCGTCTTTGGAAATCTGCTCCCACACGAGCACCAAATGATTAGAAATTTGAAACAATACGTTTAACCTGTAAAAATAACTGGAGCTGCCAATATTGATAAAAAATGGCAAAAATTCTGCAGTACAGGTTTTATTTTGAAACAAACCAGATGCACCTTGCTGAAACAAACGTCTCACTTCCTGTCTGGCTCATGTAACTTCATGATGATCCACATGCGGCGTTCAAAAAAGTAGAAGCCATGTAGAAACATTACACAGTTCCACACACGGATCTGTGCCGCAGCCAGTGTGAATGCTCTGACACGGTGATTTGCGGTCTTTGCGGCAGCCGCATGGATCCGCGTTCATTCCACACACCAAGCACATGAGGCTGTATTTACTCTACAAAAGTTGTCCAACTTTATATGGTATCAGGTTTTGAATGAATACTTTATAATAATATGTGTTTTGGTCACCAATAGGGTTTGTCTTTATTGCTGGGGTTTTCTGAGACTATCCAGAGTTCATATTTTAAGGAAACTGCAGTTTCCAGTTGGCATCAGAGTACTGGTCAATGGTTCTACACATTATGGGAGTCTCAATTATGAAAAACAATTATTAAGAAACTAAAATGCAGCACCAGTACACTGTACCAGCACTTTTAAAGTCCACCTCACTCTACGGGGATGTTTTGGTAGCTTACGATGTGCACTGGTAGTCTTTCCAGCCGTTTATCAGTTGAAATCTTTAAAGTCACTGAAAACAATACAGTTTGTCGTAAGACAAACAAAAGCCATCTGCAGTCACCCGCCCCATCCGGCTAATGGAGGTCAGAGGGGCTCTTCCTCCAGTCAGTGTTCTAAGAAGAGTACTGGTACTTATTCTTTTCCTATTCAAGGGCTCGCCTGCTGCTATAAAAGTAGCGAAGAGGAGTCATTTTTAGATGCTCATTATAGACCACCGGTGTGTTTTGCCTTTGTTCTGCCATCTTTATTTGCTTTGACTTTTTAAAGGCACCCCCCACGTGGGTTTAGTCAGAATGGAAGGAAGCATGCTTCGTTTAGAGAGCCAATAAAGTGGGATGTGACAAATGGCGATTGGTTGAAACCGAAACCAAATCTAAATAAAAAAAAACTGCTCTAACAGATCTGATAAATAATTTTATTTGATTCATTCATTCAGATCCATTTCTCCTTCATTTTTGCATAACACACAAAGCTTCTAGGGTAGAAAATATATATTTTAATATTATTCTTTTCATCTCAGCTTATGTCAGTCATTTACCTGAGATGATGTGTTGTTGCTATGGTTACCTCAAGGTTTCCCACAGCAAAAGTGGTGAGGGCACGTCCGTCACAAAGGAAATAAAAGTTCTTCATTCGCAACGTTTTCTGTTCTCCGCCACAAAGAGAATGCGCACCCACTTGAAAACTTTGTCTCAACGCAACAAGGCAGAGACTTTAGTCACTTCTCGTTTTTAACTCTCAGACTCACGGTAACATCCAGAGGACTTTGCCTCTCTTCCCATCAAGGTCAGCTCTGAAATGGTTTGACGCTCTCACAACCGACATGGAAGTGATTCTGGAGCTAACGCAACACGAGCTGATTCAAAATTAGGGCCGACGAGAGGAGAAGGGGAACTGACGTGATAAAAGAGCCGAGGCGCTTGTGTATGAGACAAACACGCAGCAGTTCTGATGGGACACTCCCTTGTAAAACAGGTGCTGTGATTTCACACTGCATGTTAAACAGCAGCAAACGGCGCCGGAGCAGGTGTAGGAAACAATCCGACTTCAGAGAGAAGTGTGGATTCGGTGCCGAGCTGTCCTGTGATTTAAGTCCAGCTTCATGTCCGCGCGTCAGAGAGAATTATCCTCACTTAAGCCTTCTGTCACTCTCCACATTAGCTCTGTCCCATTCCCCCTTTGCAACCTCACACTCCGCTCAAACAGCAAAGTAATCTGTCTTTTTTTTTTACATGTGACATGAGCACAGAAGCAAAGAGAGAGACTATTTGGGTCACGATTAAATAATAAATCCCCAAATCCTTTTTTTTTTTTTTTTTTGCACCAGGGTTTAAGTCAAGAGGACGTTTGAAAGGTTAAACAGAGACGGAGCCAAAGTTGGATGACAGCAGAAGAAGCGATTATTGTAAAGTTTCAGAGAAGTTTGGACCTTTTTCTCCTGCTTGAATCAGTTTTGAGGAGGAAGTGGAGCAGAAGGGGAGTGAGAGGGTGTGATGAGGCGTAATGAGGTGAAAAGCGGATTTTGAAATGAGAGCATGAGGAGAAGAAGGGGGTGAAGAAGTTCCGCTGGTCTTTGTTTATTGACTGAGTGCCACGGAGGGCCAGTCGAAGGGTGAAGCGAGTCATGAGTTCTTGTGCACGGAGATAGAGACATACTTTTTTATTTTTTCCTTCCGTCTCGAGGCTGTCACCCAGCTGTATTTCTCAGAGAGATGAACGAGCGTGAAGTGCGAATGAGTGCTTCATTTGATGGCAGCGCTCAGTTCCTATATTTCTCTTTTGTAGGAACTTCTCTCTGTCACGCTGTGAGCAGGGGGGGAGGTTAGGAGCCAAGATGCAGAACCAGGGAGACACGAGGCAGGAGTTGGGAAAAACGTAAAATCCTTTATTAGGAGTGATTGTCCAAAAGTAAATCCAAAAGGCAGGAAGCCAAAACCGAAAATCCAAAAATCCTAGTATGAAAAAACCAGGAGACCCGTCTTAAACACTTAAAGAGCTGACCT